CGACGCAATCGACGAACGTGTACGTACGTTTCGTGCCGTGTCCGGTTGTAATGCCGCCGGGGGCGCACATTATTTGCCGCCTCATCATAGATATGATTGCTGAGTAGAACTATAAACTATTTATTGGGGTTGATGCACATTATTACTTAGTACTTAGTATTCACTTGCCGTACCCTCCTCGTCCGTCGAGTCTCGACTGTGTTCGCGCGTTAATGCGTGTTAATATTTTGACCGTTCCAATAAGATATATGTATACATACCTATCATTTTTCCATCAGTTGATACATTTTATAATACGTTCAATGACTAATGATGGAAAAATTGGTTTATTACGAAAAACCGAAAATATTAGTATGCGAATGCCCCCTATGAAATATTTTCAAACTTTGCAGCCGGGGGCAAATGCCCTCTATGCCCCTCGTGTTAAACACGCCTCTGGTGTCGCGCGCCGTAGGATTCCGTAGCGCCCCGAAGCGTTGCGATCCGAGCGCGCGCGGCCAGTCGGATCTCAACCTAACCGTCAACTACAATCGCCGGGGACGTGTCCGCGACGGATACAATCCGTTTTCAGGCCCTGTACATAGGAGAATATGTACAGTCGTTTCTCAGTTAAACGTAGGCCACGGTCGTCCGAGTTCGCGACACGCGCATAGTTGTCAACGACAAGTAAACGTTAATGTGTTCGGTTATTCTTCGTGACCCTACGTGTAGGTCTTTTGAACGTTTAGCACGGGGGCCGCTTCGTACCGATCCAAAGTTTGGCCGCCAAACCGTACGAAGATTTCATTGCATTAACATAAAAAATGTTTCGGCCGAAACCACTATGCCCCTCTCCTGCCGATACAGGATTTGGGCCCGTGTTGTGGCCGTTTTTAATATTTCAGTTGCCTGACCAAATTTTTAGGGCTTCGGCCCCACCGTTCGTAACCGTGTCCGATACGCGCGATGTGCAATACGTGTGAAGTTCGTTTATTCACCGGCCCGAATTTTTCTGTACCGATATCCTAACGTTGTCGCCGCGACAATCACGACGATTATTGTCGCGTGTGGCAAACCGTTCGCCAGGCCCTGATTTACGCAAGTGCAGATGGAGCATTTGCACTTGGCCCCAATTTCTGACCCCCCCCTCCTCCCCAGTCACCGTAAGTTGTAGAAAATTGTGTTTTTAAATTAATTCCACAAACATTTATTTTGTAAAATGTAATACCAACTGTCAATGTTCAGAGTTCAGTATATTTTTATCATTAAATTGTCAGTTGAATTTTTGTTATTTTTGTCATTTCACACCCCAGTTCTATTCAGTTACCATCACAAAATATTAAAATAATAATAGAAAGTCGTCTGAACATCGGAAATATTTGATATCTAGTAACTGTTTATAGATTTATTCGAGCCCAGTACTTACAGATTTACCCGACGTTGGTGACACTATGAGCATATAAATATTTTTTTTTACTATCAACATTCCTCCCGTCCCTCTCAATGTAGAATTTTTGACTTTGGGGGACCACAAAAAAAATTGTACACTTGGCTCTAATTTTATTAAATCAGGCCCTGCCGTTCGCGTTGCGTTTACGCAGCAGCGACACTTCCCTGCAAAACGGACCATTTGCTTACTTATTTACTGCGAGGCCAACGGCACCGGTTTGGGTCGCAGCGTCGCAAAACACGTGTTACGGACAAGGGCGAACGTGTGTAGTTCCCGGTAGCGCGTACACGTGTTTACAGATTGTCGCCGGGGACCCGTTCGAAATCGGACCGCGACGAATACGGCAATTATTCGACTGGCGTAAAGCAAAAAGAGCTAGACGACATTTCGGGGCTAATGGCTAATGACGGTGTGCACTGCGGGACAACCGACGGTCGCAGTAATCGATCGCACAAGTGTCACGCCGTTCCGGTGCCAGTTTGGTAATCTGTACATCTCGGCAGAGGTGGAACTAGGAATTTTTACGCCCCCCCGGGGAAAATGTTAAAATTACGCCCTATCGTAGACCAATAATCAAATACTATACTCAAGAATTTTTTTCTAACAACTAAAACACAATCGTACTTATTAAGTTTTAACCTAATATCAGTATTTTTAACAAAGTTAAAAATATCAAATTAGTTGTTAATAATTACAAAAATTATACTCTCTACAGTTTTACGCCCGGTAATAAATCCCCGTCTTCCACTCTCTAGTTCCGCCACTGCGTCTCAGCACGACCGTCGTACGCGAAACGGAAATCTTACGAAACTATAATCTTTTTCTGGTAGACGAGCGACAGTATTGAAAATTGTGTTCGCCAAACGGCAAACGCAAGACGCGCCACTATTTTTATCACTTTCCATCATCGTTATTACTTTTATCGCTTACAATATCGATGATACGAAGTACCCACATCTGATCGAATTAATATCTATCTTTTTAGAGTTCTAGTAAATGTTGACTGTTGTAATAGACCTTATGGCAGTGTTTCCCAACCTTTTTGTAATGGCGATCCACAAATTTACTGTTTGTTGATAATGTGACCCTCCCCAAAACAAGAAAAAAAAAATTAAAATATGCGATAATATAGTATTATAAATAATTATAAACAGTACTGCCTGATGCAACTGGTCGACAGTCGCGACCCATAAAAATATATCACGACCCAATTTTAGGTCGCCACCCATAGGTTGGGAAACACTGCCTTATGGGCTTATGGGCTATAACTTACAAACATGAATACATATAGGTAAATTTAACTTTATATAAGTCATAGCGAGGAAAAAGCCTTCAGTTTGCCCTCCTCCGAGTGCCTTTAACGACAAAGCAACCATTGAATGACCATTAAGATATAAGAGAAATAATGAGCCACTGTTGAAGGGATTTCACTCGCGTGAATACGAGTACAAGGATGACTGGTACAAGTGAATAATTCTTATATACTTGAAATAAATTTACAATTACCTTCAAAAAACGGATCTCAGCGAATTAGGTCACATGGATCACCTTCTATGATTAAAGATAGTTCGTATGACTGCAGAAGTATATGATTAGGTATTTGATTTCGTATTCAGATTGGTCACAGTGCACAACCAACTTTAGATAAAACTAAGTGTATTCCATATGCTATTATAAATTAAATAAATCAATTATAATTTATTTACCTTGACATCACAATATTAATAAACAAATATTTTCAAACATATTTTTCATATTTTTTACAAAATGGAAAAATTATTAAACATTTATTCGCGAACTTTCAATATATACGATCATGTTTATAATTTTACTAAAAAATTATCACGTTTTATTATCTTATACCTATAACAACATTTAAAAATACAATAAAATCAAAATTCAACAAATATTTATTTTATATTTTACATACACAAAATATCCCAAATCTTTGGGGACATAAGTATACAACAACATATCATATGTTACCGTCAACGGAGAGTTATAAAGGCGTTATTAGAAATGTTCAGTACATGTTTAAGTGTTTTTTATGGGCAATAACATTATTGAAAGATATTATTATGGAATCCCTAGTTTAAGCTAAGTGTTACAGTCAATGACATAAATACTTCAAAAATTATACATAATTTTCAAGATTTGTCTATCATTTTTATAAGTGATATTGTAATCATCATGATCATGTGGTATGCATAGTCGATGAAAATTAAACATGTAATAAGGTATTGTGTTCTGTACAGAGGAACATGATGTCTTCAAATGCACAGATTATTTTATTACTTTTATGGAGATCCATAAATATGGACTCTCACATAGAAAAGCGTTATTTACGTAAAAATTTGTTTAGCAAGTCGACGAGTAATGACATTTATTCCGTAGGTACAACGAAGGTTGAAGCTATGTTAAATTTAGTCATTGACAAAACCATTTGAAAATATTATTAACAAAATGTTAATGTAAATAATGTTAATTTAACATTGACGGTAACACGTAAAGTGTACATTGTACATGTAACTATAAACTATCGGCAAGTAAATATAAAAAAACGGTTAATGAAAACGAATTGAAATTTTTCCAGCGTTATAAATGATAAAAATAAATACAGATAAAAAAAAATAATTTATGATTGATAAAGAATTTGATTGAAGTTATTTCGTTTGCTCCAAACGATGTCATTTGAAACAGAGTATTATACCGTCTAGAATTATCAAAGAAATGTTTTGATAGAGGGTGAGAATTATCAATTAAACTTTTAATTGGGTCTGGAAGATCCTCAAATTGGTGTAAAACCACTTTACCGTCAGCGCAGCAAAGTCCATGGGTTTCATCTTTCCATTTTTTTGCATGGCACTTAGGACATAATATAGTCATTCGTCCAATTTGAAGCGCTTTAATATTTAAATAATATAGGTACACGCAATATATAGGTACAATTGTTTTTAATTTTTTATGAACTTTTATGAACTTTTTTACTGACAAAAGTGGTACTAAAACCTTCAGCAGAGTGTCGGGTTTCAGCCAAAATAAATTTCAGCCAAATCGGTTCAGTAGTTTTCTCGGTTAGCGCGGTCGAAGAAAAACCCTTACAATTCTATATATATAGTATATAGATAGATAACACATATTTTATACATAAATACAAAACCCTATCAAAGAATTCAAAGTTTTTTATATTTTTTTGCAACATGCAAAAATATACTCTGTAAAAAAATTTAAATCATACTCAAAATTGTTTTTCATATACGAATTATATTTATTTATTTATTTTTATTTGTAAAACTACAGTCCTAATATTGTGCACAATCAATGTTGTTATAAAAAATAATACATGTGTTTTACCATGCTTTTATTCAATATGCCTCACAAAAACGAATCTAATGATGAAGTGTAACAAAAATCAAACATATTAATAAATAAAAAAGCGTCAGTAAAATCATCATTCGAAATCTACAAAATAAATGATAAGAATGAATACAAAATATTGATAAATTATGTATATATTCGTATATTATAAAGTATTAATACATTGAAATCAATACTCATTGTCCTCATAAAGGTACGTGAATCGCCACAGCGTAATGTCGACGTAGTACAAGCCACGCACCCAAGATATGTATTGGTCACTTACGACAAACTCATCATGATACTGTAGTGCATAAATAGTACGAACAATGATATCGCGAAGATCCATCAGTTCATTGGCAGTCATCTTCCGAATGATGGAACGACGGACACGGAAATGTTTTTTAATTCTGGGCACCATATATGCAACGGATTTGTCCATGTCGAGGATCGAGGAACAAAGAATCACTAAATAAGTCAAAACGGCAAGATGATGTAATACTAAAGAAATAATAATTTTATTTGTATATTAAAAATCATAATTTCTATGGTAACAATTGTTTTTTTTTTTTTTACAGATTTGCAATAAAATAAAATAAAATGGTAAAAAAAAAAAATAAAGATACTTTGAAATGTGTCATAAATTCAACTTGTTGGACCATGTAAGTAATTTGTTACACGAATTATTTATGATTCGTTAAAATAAAAAATGACAAAAAGTGTTTTGAATTTTTATCTTTCTTATGTTATGTGTTTAATTATATTAACCAACCGACAAAAATAGTCGGTACACCGAGTCACGATCAGCTTCTCCCGTGATTGGTTGTTTATTTTACCTTCGGACCATGATATGTAGAATTTTTTATTCAAATATTATTGTTTAATGTAATCGGCAAGTAAATATAAAAAAACGGTTAATGAAAACGGATTGAAATTTTTCCAGCGTTATAAATGATAAAAATAAATATAGATAAAAAAGAAATAATTTATGGTTGATAAAGAATCTGATTGAAGTTGATGAATAAAAAAAAAGAAAAAAAAAAGAATTAAAATAAGAATTTTATAAAACTTCTGAGTATATGATATTTTTTGTTATATTTCCTGTTGAAATTAAAATCATAAGATGATTCGGGTCCCCAGTTCGAGAAAATGTCACATATAATTGTCCATGTAAAAAGCACTCTGTACGAAGATCTACGCCGACGTACTTGAATTTTTGACCTTGCGCTTTGTTTATGGTAATGGCAAAAAAAACTTTAACCGGGAATTGAAGCCGTTTGAAAGAAAACGGCAATTCAGAGGGCAATTCAATCATGGGAATTCTTGGAATAAACGCAATTTCTCCTTTCGCTGGCCCTGTAAGAATTACGGCTTCTGTAATAGTATTTCGCAACAATTTTATTTGTAATCTTGTACCGTTACATAAGTTCGGTGGTTGAAGATTACGTAATAATGTAATTGGAGCACCAATTTTTAATTTTAGCTTATGAGGAGGAAATCTCGAAGGAGAAAGAGACTTGAGAAATTCTTGTGGATAATGAATAGCATTATCTGTTGATGTAACTGTATCAATAGATAGATATTTACGTGAGTGTCCATCGAATTTTAGAAGGATGATATCATTAATTTCTCCTGCTGTTACATTTCTCGGAAAGATAATAGCTCTTCACATAACCACTGATAAGATTTATTGGACTGATTAAAAATGTCAGGATAAACTGTAGAAATCAACTCTTCCACGTTATTGACCACCCGTCCAATCGTGTGATTGACAGAAATGTAACTATTTTCATTTTCTAAAGTTCCATTCCCAATTTTCAACAACTGTGCTGGAAAAATATCGTCCCCTCCGCATAAATAAACTCTCATGTTTGTTCGCAAATAAAGTTTTTCAACTTAGTTCCATATAGGGGAAGATTTTAAGCAAGCATTAACGACATCAGTTCGAGTACCTTTAGGGATTACTGGTAAGGTTTGACGGAAATCACCAGCGAAAACAAATGTTATGCCACCCATAAACTTATTATTACACTTAAGATCTTTTAATGTTCGATCAATTGCTTCGATATGTGATTTGTGACTCATTGTACACTCATCCCACACAACGAATAAGGTTTCTTGAATAATTTTTCCAAAAGGGCAATTTTTACAAATCGGACAAACGTATTCTCTATCAAACATTTACAATTTATTAATTAAACTTTTAATTAGGTCTGGAAGATCCTCAAATTGGTGTAAAACAACTTTACCGTCAGCGCAGCAAAGTCCATGGGTTTCATCTTTCCTTTTTTTATGCATGGAACTTAGGACATAATATAGTCATTAGTCCAATTTGAAGCGCTTTAATATTTAAATAATCAATCTCGGATTGATAATATAGGTACACGCACAATATAGGTACAATTATTTTTAATTTTTTATGAACTTTTTTCCTGACAAAAGTGGTACTAAAACCTTCAGCAGAGTGTCGGGTTTCAGCAAAAAAAAAATTTCAGCCAAATCGGTTCAGTTGGTTTCTCGGTTAGCATGGTCGAAGAAAAACCCTTACAATTTTATATATAGTATAGATAGATAGATTGAAGAAAAAAGTGATTTTTCAAAAATATTTAAGTTATTCAACAATATAATCGCAAATTTATTAAGATTATTAAGATATAATCTTCACTTATACGGTTATTACGTAATATTCAGTAAGCTCATATACGAATACACTTTGTCACTTAAAGGTAGCTAATACAAATTCTCATACAAGAATGAGATATCAAGCTCGTTACTATTAGAAGTAAACATATCATAGATCAACATCAACCATGGAATCGGAACATTTAAATTTATATTTTATGTCAACTACTTTTGACTTTTAAACCGTGGTGACTGAAAATTAATCCATAGCATTAGGTGAGGTTACATTATATTTTACTGATCAGTCGGTATAGCTGATGCTTAATAATTAATTAAATAATGATTAATTATTAATTATTAATTTAATTTATTTTATTAATTCGTGCACCTAAACGCGTTTACCGTTTAAAGCGGTAATTCATATTTATGACCATTGTTTATTTGAAAAACATATTCTCATATTATTACGTATTAATTTATAATATTACATTAATAAGTCTGAAAAAATTACCAATAGTACTATTTACGATAGTATTTAATTTACCCATGGTTTATTATAAAATATTATTTTTGTTAGTTACTTTGACACCAGTGGCGTAGTTACGGGGAGGGTGTAAGGGGTTTCCACCCCCTCCACAGATTTTTTTTTTTAATGATATTTGATTATTATTTATTAATATTTATATATTATAGTAAAATATTTTGATTTTACTATGATTAGGTATATATTAAAAATTGAATAACAAAATAATTTTCATTAATACGGGACATAATAACACTATTTTAAATGTAATATTATTATACATTATCTCGTTTTAAGATATACTACGAACACTTAAAAACTTACCAGAAAAGAATTGTATCTACGCTACTGTTTGACACTAACTATTATTCGTTTTACTATATAGAGTAGACATTTTATTTTTCACTAATTTTATACAAATTATATAAATTTATTTTTTACTTGTAACTTTAAATATTGTTCTGAATAAAAGTTTAATTTGATATTGTTAAGTTTTAATACGTGATAAAATATCAAAAGCAGTTTTTGATGATATTAATCCAAAATAAAAATGTTATTATTATAATGATTGAAGTTGTGCAAGCGCCTTCCACCAGTCAATGTAGTTGATTAATATATAGACTGGTAAAAGGTAAAAGGGTCAAAGGGATAATCTTACTAATTTTTAAAAGAACAACTATAATACTCCGTAATGTTTTTATATTTGACGTTAACACTTTAGTTTTTACTAGAGCACTAGAAATGCTTTATTAGATATTTGTATTTCATTTTATGTCACCTTTAACTTTTCACCGGTCGCTGGTTATACTAAAACGTCACAGTTATTACTAGTTATTAATCGTATTTATAATAATAATAATAATAATATACCATTTTTTGATGCTAGGCTTCAACCTTAGTGTTCTCGTCTGGAATGAAAAGTCCTCGTACTCCAATTCAAATAATAATCATCCTAATACGTTTATTACGAGCTATAGCATTATATCCTTTCTCTTTCGGTTTTTTTCCTATACATTTAATGGCATAATGCTGTTTATCGTGACATTGTGAACATGATTAATTATATTGCATTCCTTTCGTATTGTTCATAGAAACTGTTTGCACGAGTGCGATATCTTCTGGAGTATGTCGAGTCTTTCGACTAGAAAATGTTCAATGGCTGCGTGATAAGTATACGGTAGGGTATGCACTATTCGAAAAACGTACGCAATTTCATATCGAACCATTTAAAACGTAAAATTCGTTTACGGTACGTAGCGAGCTACTCTTCATGGAACTTCGAAAATCGAGTTGCCGAGAACGGAGATTTTACTGTGTTCCAGCAATAATCGCATTAATAATCGATTGATTTCATAAGGATTGGCCCGGGAAGCGTTGCAAGCACCGCCGTTTATCGCACAGCTCATCGTGTGACAAACGGTAATCGATTTGTTCGTCGGTCCGACCCAGAACACCATGTTGAATAAACCCTAGGATTTTCCGTCGACCAGCGTAGATAAATGTATTGTGCTCGCGCGCGTATAGTACATGGTTTATTATTATTACGTTTGTTGTTTCGCAAAGTCGGCCGTTGCGGGACGTTCATCTGTTCGGCCGCGGACACGGCACTGGCGACCGACCGAAGCTGCGGCAGATTCCGTTGTGAACGTCACCACCGCCGGCGGAATACGCTTAGGCGCAACTAGGGGGCAAGGGGGCTTATCCCTCCCTCTAACTAAGATTTAGGTCACCCATAAATGTTCCATGTTATACATGACATATAGCATACTTAACTCACAATAGTGTCATATACAAAAAAAAAGACACATTGCAATAAATCCAACTTGACTCAAAATCTAAAATATATTAACATGGTATATAAGAGTAAGGGTAATCTACAGGTTATTTTAAGTTTTGGTGGTAGGCCCTTCCAGATTTTTTACCCTAGTTGCGCCTATGAGTACACGTTTAACCGGTGGCACGTCCGTCTTGCGGCGGCAAACCGAAACGACCTGGAAAGAAATCCATAGACCAAGATCGGAGCGAAAGCGCACGCGTGTATTGCATATTCGATCGGTAACGTGTACAATGTACACTGTACATAACTTTTGTTTGGGGCCCCACCGGTGATAATATGCAAACAAATCATTGTTTTTAATTTATTGTTATCTTTTTTTTTTTTACGTTTCTAATGCGCTCACGCTAAGAACATTATTTTAAACCATTTAAGAAAAAGCCCTGGGGGGGGGATCTGACCATCGCACTTCCTCTTGTATACGCCAATGGTACGCCCGGAGAAACAGTTTTTTCGTGCGCAGATTATTAGCCGCGGATCCCGTGCGGTTATCGAACGAGCATTATACGGTTTATTGTGGTGGCGACGAGTGGGCGCAGTGATGCGGCACCGTGAAATCGGTACGCGTACACATATTATTGTAATGTGCATTAACGCCCCCGCGCAGAATGAGACCTCAACAACGGTAAACAACCACGACGACCGCAATAATAATATTATTTATTTTTTTCTCTCCCTAGTA